TCAAACAATTTGTGATGAACGTCAGAAATGTCTTCAAAGTTTTAATTATATCCACGACAACACTATCGTTCGTTGCGACAGCATCCATTGTGGCAACATTATCGTCCTGTATGACATTACGTACTATGACAGCGTTTGTCATGGGAGCAACGTATATACCCTGCATCTTTTTCGTCCGGCTCTCAAATGTTCTGTAAACAAACTATGCACATATAATCCCCGTATATCCACAAATTCCATACACTATACACTCGTCTACACTCGTCGTCGCCGCTACCGCTACCGCTACCGCTACCGATGCTGTTATTGCTGCCGTAGTCTACACTCGTGGCCGCCGCTACCGCTACCGCGTCCGTCGTAGTCAACGCTCAACCGAAGTGGTACAGCGACGCAGCTGCGACGTCGTTTGCTGTTCCCCCCGTGTGTGCGTGTTGTTGTTCTTCGCGCGGGCGCGTGGTGTTGTGCCCGTTGTGTTGTTGTGGTGGTGGCATCTATATCGGTACCGTACGGACCGGGCCGTGTGATCCCGTGTGCGGCCGTATGATTCGTATTCGTGCTTTCTCCCATCGGTGTTACCTGCCGATCCCTTTGATGGTGTGGTTGCCGCCGTGATGGCGGTCTGCCCGTTTGTGTCATCCTTCTCTGCAATAAAGGAACAAATAGGAATTACAACGCTTAGTATGCACGTTATGTGTTCTTGCAAGGATATAGAAACGAACGCTGTTCACACATCTCCATCGTGTCTCGCGTTGCTCTGTCCCTTTTATTTTGCAACTGTCCTCCTTTCTACTCCCCCTCTTTCTTCCGTTTCATTCTGCTGTTTTTACTTATCTTTTCTGTCTCGTTCTAATCGTTCTCATTCTGCCCCTCGCTCCCTTGCCTTACCGGACTTTCGCTTCTTGTCCTGCTGCCTTTTTGCTATGCTTTCCTGCACGTTTGTCCCGAGTTCCTGTAATATCTCCTGCACGCCTTCCTTCAAGTCCGCGACTATCTGAGTAATGCCTAAGGTGTCATTATTCTCCGTATCCTCTCTATTCCAGATATCCGCTATCTTCCATCCCTTCTTCCACGGCGTCTTGCACGGTGTGTGTCGTCTTATTTTCTGTATAACCCTGTGTAGTCTGCTATCCTGTTGTAACCATTTCTTTACCTCTGCATTTAAGTGAAGTTTTCTTATTTGCAAATCCTCAACTAGTTGTCTACGACATTTCCCCTGCTGTATTAAACCTCCCACAAAACCTCCTTTCCCCCCTGTCTTTTCCATTATTTTCCATGCATAAAAAGTGCCCCATTCACTTCTGCACACGGATTCGTTTAATACTTCGCTGAACATATGCACTATTGCACATAGCAAGTGCTCCCTTATTTTATCGTTAATGTCATTTCCCGGCGTCTTTCCCAATGCAGCAGTATGCCACCCATTCATGAAAAATAATGCCGCAACCATGAGTACGCATACAATTCTGTGGCTCACGTGCACTGGTCCATATTCCGGAATCTCGTTTGGGTGGTCGGGGCGCTCCCATGCTGTGTTATCACAGGCCGTTGCATACAGTATTATCTCGTCGCCCTCCATGTAGTCCACAAATTCCTTCATTACGTCTTTGGTCTTCTCCCATACCATGTCCTACAATGTAAGAGAAACACAGGAAATATATACATGCGCATGTGTGCTTGAATGCTATGTGCGACGATGCTCTGCATGGTGTCTTATACCAATAAAACCCTAGCACGGAACTGCCCGTGTTGCTCTTCTATTCCTGTATGTTCCTACCTCATACTCCTCCTGTTTGGGAAAACCCGCGCGGATTACCCATTTCACCAATGCATTCGCCAAATCTACCGTTCCCATATTGTTACCATGCACTGAAATACAGGGTACCGCTTGAAATACCTATACATTACTATTATTCGTATTGTTGTGATATTACATGAATTCCCTGTTGCTTCCAATTGTAGTCCCTAATACAGCTTCTGTCTGTGTGAACTGCTGCGTGCGTGGCAATCAAATATTCCATAAAAAGAGAAAAACTGAAGCACATAAAGGTAGAAGGCAGCATGGACCAAAACCAAAAATGTGCATAGGAATTGCAAATAGAGGGCACAGGGAAGAAAAGACAAATAAAAAAGACAGACAAAAATAGAAAAAATGCTACACTACACTACCTACGCACACACAACACGTCATGCATAAACCCCCCGCCGCCCTTTCTACACCGGTCTCCACGAAACGCCTGTCACACACACTGTCTCTGTGTGTGCGTACACAACCAAACCGCAGTATAACAACAACATCAAATTCTTCTTCCGTCGTTGTGGCCTTGCTCCGGTCGTTCGTGCTCCCCCACATAATATGTGTGTTCCTTCTCCTCTCCCGCTGTCTGCCCGCCCACATAAGATGTGTGTTCCTTCTCCTCTCCCGCTGTCTGCCCGCCCACATAAGATGTGTGTTCCTGGTCCTCTCCCGCTGTGTGCGATCCCGCTCTCTGTGATCCCCCTCACTCGAAATCCTTCCCTCGAAACCCTTACGCGAACAATGCGTTTACCCGGCCGCGTTGGTCGACGCGTTTGCTCGGAGAGACAATCTCTGCTCCTTTCGTACACGCGGCCGCGTTACGCGGCTACTTCTTCGCATCGGTGTTGCACGTGGCCGCGGTGGTCGACGCGTGTGCTCGGATAGACAATGTCTCCCTCCTTTCTTACACTCGGCTACTTCGTCGAATCGGTCTTGCACTTGGCCGCGTTTGCTCGGAGACAATGGTGCTGCTGCTTGCACGCGGCCGCTTTGGTCGACGCGTTTGCTCGGAGAGACAATCTCTCCCTCCGTTCTTACACTCGGCTACTGCGTCGAATGGTGCGTACCAGGCCGAGTGTGCTCTGCGAGACAATGTCGTCCTTCTTACACTCGGCTACTTCGTCGAATCGTTGTTACACTTGGCCGCGTTGGTCGACGCGTGTGCTCGGAGAGACAATGCTCCTCCTTCTTACCTTCGGCACAATGCTTACGAGGCTACGTCGTCGAATCGCTTCACTCGGATCGACCGCGTGTGCTCGGAGAGACAAGCTCTCCTTATACTCGAATGCTTATGCGCATGCTATATTAGTTCTGCACTATACCCTTAGAATGCACTGGCGCAGCTTTTAATAATTAACGTCACATACAGGACAATTGTACCCCTTCATATTATTCATTTAAATCTACATTTTATATGCATTTGACGTGTACCCACCTGTTCCTATGGTCATGTTAAAAGAAGTTGACTACACAGAAAAAGAGCAAAACAAGGCAAATGTAAAAAGAAAGAAACAAAAGTAAGCAGAACAGAGCAGAAAAAAAAAAAAGAAGGTATGTAATAGTGCAAACAAGAAATATATTACGTATATCACATAATGAAGTAAAAGTGGTGTACGGTTAGCATGCGTTATGTCGCATGCATATGCGCCGTCATCCGAATGTCAGAGCTTGTGCAATAGGGCATCCACATATAACTCCCTATCCTGCATACTACTCTCGATTTCACATTGTTCGATTACGGACGCGAGAAGGAGCATCCATGTGTGAGCGGTTAACGGTTTTTTCATGTAAGGTTGCTTATGCAGTGGTTGCGAGCGTGGTACATCTCTCACTCGTAGTATATGTTCTGCGGCCATTACTGTTTCCACTTCTAAGTGTTTTTCCGCTATAGGTACGTCGCCTTTTGGCGATACTGCCGCCTCCTCTACACTATTCAACAAATGTTGAAACCACGCCTCCGCGTTATACATACTCATGTGCCGATGTTGTTGGGCAACCCACTGTTTCCAGGCATCTGGCTTCATTTCCACACATCCAATACTTCTTTGTTCACGGAGTTCACGCTGCCCGGTGTCCTGGTTTGCCACCGTGTGCTCACGCAGGTATTGTTTCCATTCCGCTTTTAATGGCATTAAACCACGGCTGCGTCATGCACGCCCGCAGAATATGTTTGTTGCGGTCAATCCATGGTATCCAGTAATTGTAGTTGGGGGTTCGGTTTTCATTCCAAGGGGAAGAGTATGGAAGGGGCGAAGGAGTTTCTTCTTGTTCTAACTGTATGTTTTGCATACAACTCCATGGATCGGGGTCATCTTCGTTAGGAGGACATGAATCTGGTCCTTCCGAGTCACTGGGTGAATCGTGGGTTAGTGTGTCCCAGGTTGTCGAATCGGCGGTTGTCGCATGGCCGGTTGTCGCTTCCTGGTTAGAAGAAGAAACCGGGGAACCACAACGTCCGTTGTCGTCCCCCATAAACTCTTGCACAAGTATCTGCAAATAGTCGTCTTTGACATTTTCCCACTCGGCCGCTGCACATTCGTGGAGCACTTCTAGATGTAGCTCGATAATCGTGCGCGTATAAACGCGTGGGGGGCGTTGTCCGCGGCGGCCGGCAGCAGATGCAGGTGGCCTATCCCTAACCATTGTGTACCCGTAATCTGGTGGCGGTGCGTCGCCGTATTGTAGATGGTCTAGAATTTCTTCGTCGAGTGGCGGTGACGGCACGTCACGAACGGTTCGATATTTTCGTCGTCGTTTGGCGAGGTGCGCAAAATACTACAAAAAAAAAGAACGCGGACGATGTAGGCGAGTGCATTTGTCTTAGAATGATGATACAAAAGCTCCCTTTAGGAACGCATTTCTAATGGTACATATGACGGATACGCATATACGGCGTCGTGTAAGGTACTTACGGTCCAAAGGGAATAACCAAGAAGGGCGACGGTGACCAAAGTGACGAAGGCGAGGACGGGAGTAGTGGCGGTAAGGACGTCGGCCGTTAGGTCAGGTCCGTCGGGACCAGCACCCGGGTTCGTATCCGCATTTCCCGATGTTTTTTCTGTTGGAGTCGCTGGTGCATATCCTCCTGCTGCACTATTCAGTTTTGTCAGGTCCGGTAGGTCTATCTTAAGGTCTTCCTTGTAGCTACGGTCCTGGCTTATTTTTTCTTGTATCCGTTTCCGCCATTGCGTGTATGCTTGCTCCCATTGATCTAAAGCACGGGCCACGGTATCGACTTTCCCGGCTCCACCGAAGGAACCGGATCCAGGCGCCATATTCCCCGCGGAAACTGCAGCTGGATCTAAACCAATATCTTTTCCACCTGCGGGAAGCTTAGCGTTCACATCTGGCGTCTTCCCTACTCCTTGTTCTGGTGCGGGCTCTGTACCCTCGTGGTGTGGAGCCTTAGATTCCGTATCATGAGCTTTACCTATAAGGTCGAATACAGGGAAGAATATGGAAGGAAAGTGCAGTTTCGTAAGTTGCATGGTTAACCACGGCCGGGCTCTGTTGATCGCTGATGGGTGCCAACGGTGGTTACGGTGCAGGTGCCACTCCGGGAAAAGACTCTCTCTCTCGCACACACAACACAACACACAACACACACAGGGTGTGCTTCGACGTCTACATCCAGCGGCCGACCCGTGCCGCGGCCGACCCATCGCTCGGCCGCTTACTCTCATTCGAGGTTTGGTTTCTCTCGCCCGCTCTCCGTGTTCTCTCCGGAAAAGTTGTTTCTTTTTTTTTTTATTTCGATATTTACTCAGGACACTACCTTCGCTCGAGTCCTGGGACTTCTTCCCACATTCATCCTCAGCTCCGGCACCCGATGCAATGGAGATAGTGGTAGTCGATGTAGCACCTGGGATGCCCTTGCCTGCATTCTGCGCCACATGAACTGCGGTGCTACGTGTACACTTACCTGTATTGTCAGTGTCCGCCCCTTCTGATCCTGGTGCCGAGGTCGCCGGATCTTGTGATGTTGATGATAGTTGTCCTCCCCGTGCTGATCCTGCAGTTGCCCCGTCCTCTTCCGCTGTTTTATCTGCCCTGCCTACCTCTGTGTTCTGTCCTGGTTGTGACGGAGTTTCCCCTGTACTGCCTGGTCCTGTGCTCCCGCGTGATGGTGACGGTGACGGTGCCGAGGGCTTCGCCCCTTTCTGGTCTCCTCCTGCTGCTTGTACCGGTGTAGTGGTGGTCGGCTTCGTCGCCGCCGGCTTCGCCGCGGCAGGGGCGGGGGGACCACCCGGCGTGTCCTCGTCCTTGCTCTCCTTCTCCTTTTCTGCAATAAGTTGTAATGAAGAAAAAACGGTAGATGATAAAAAAAAAACGACACAAGTGGTACAGAAAGAAGGGGGCGGGACGGTGGGGTCAGGTAGCGGCAGGGTGGGGGTCCGGCTCGATGCAGTGCGTCGATGCAGTGTGTGGATGCATGGATCCAGGTGCACTGCGATGGACTGGGGTCAGGCGGCAGCAAGCGTACGGGGAGGTGGATGGTAGCAGTACAACTTGTATGTTCTTGCCGACATCTCGTCCACCGTCCGCGACCGCCCTCCGGCTCCATCCCTCGCACCACTGTCGGACCACTGTGACGATGGTACACACGCGCCACCGCTACCGCTACCGTCGTGGTCGCCTCTGATCGCTCAACCGAAGGGCAACTGAACGAGGGGGTGCTGTTCCGCCGTGTGTGCGTTGTTGTTGTTGTGGCGGCGGCAGCCATATTCAGCAGTATGAGGCGTATGTGGGCACATTTGTGTGATCTGCACTGTTCGTATCGGCCTTATGTGCGTGTTCCTATTGCCGATATTCTTAGCACTTTGTTCCTTTACTGTGCTTACCATTCTCGTCCTCATCTGCATTGTCATCATCATCTTCGTCATCGTCGTCGTCTTCATCGTCGTTTTCCCGATCGTCGTCGTCGGAAGGAACGTGCCCCCATATGTCCTCTACTTGCTTCCCTACTTTCTGTAATATACGCGTCATTCCTGTCGCCATTGCGGTGCGCACTTGTCCTGCCTTCAATAATTCCATACGTCGCTTCCAGTGGTCAGATGTCTGTGTCCCCCTGCTTTTGCATCTTGCAGATTTCTGTAACTTGTTCATCCGGGCCTTCATGTGGTCATTCCCCATTATCCATGCATCGAGTTCTGCGCCTATTACTTTTCCTCCTACCTTGAGGTCATTACTAACCACCCAGGTGCACGTCTTAACATTAACACCATTTGTAAAACTGCTCATAAACTGTTCTAATATGTACAATGCCTGTCTTATACCTCGATCTCTCCCGCAGTTTGCTTTCATTAACTGAAACATAAATACATGCGCAATTATGCACCGTATATATGTGTGTAATTGGTCTCCTACTGCCGAAGCATCGTATCCCCGTTCTGCACTCGTCCCCCAGCCATTCATGAAATATAATGCGGGCACCATCATTTTGCATACAACTTTGTCGTCATCATTATTCCAATTTACATATCGTGCCTCTAACCATCCTGCATTATTACACGATTGCGCCCATATGTCATGATTCTGCTCCATATAGGTAAGAAACTGTTCTACTATATCTTTCATCTTGGCCCATATGCCTTCCTGCAGCAGAGGAAAATTATATGTGTACCTGTCTATCTTCCTTTACTTCCACAATTTTTTAATATGTGCCGGCCGCAACATCTTAACTCGCGTTTGTCATAAATTGCCCTCGTCTTTGTTCTGTGTCCATTTTCCTCTCTCTTTCCTATTCATTTTACCGCCGTATTAAATTACCTCATATGTTCCAGCGTTTTTCCCCACTACCGTTTGCCGTGCATAATCTGCTAAGAGAGTCCCAAATGTTTGGGCCATGTTTGTTTGTTTATTATAAATCTGTATTTGAATTCCTACTGCACATAGAACAGTGCCTCAAACTAGCTATATTCTGCCGCAGGTGTCCTGTGGTTGTCTTAGTACAGTAACTGTGCACACTAACAAAACATATTCCTAAACTAAGGCCTCCTGAATAATTTTATCCCTTCATTAGAGATAGGAAAACACCAAGGAAAAAAAGATGGAATAGAAAAGATGGGAGAAAAGAAAGATAAACCAAAAAAAAAAAAAAGAAGCGACAGGAAAAAATAAGACAAAACTACACCGTCAATATTACAGACATCCACACTAGTCCCAGAACAACACCAATTGTGCAATCCTCTGGATTCCCGGTTCAAATGTACATATATCCCGTGGATATAGCATTAACCAGAGTTCTTGTTCCGTTTTCCTGTCTTTGTGTAGAAGGAGACAGGAAAAAAAAAAAAAAAGTACTACTACACTACCTTACACACGCAACGCGTCATGAATACCCCCTGCCCCGTGTCTACTCGGGTCTCCACTAAACGCCGGTCACACACACTGTCTCTCTGTGTGCGTACACATAAAAACCGCAGTAACAACAAGAACATCAATGCTGCTGCCGTCGTTGCTACCGGCGTTGTCGCCGCGCGTCGTCTGCTGCCCTGCCACATAATATGTGTGTTCCTTCCTCCGCCACACGTCTCGCTGTTGCCCCGCTCTCGGATACCCCTCTCTGGATCCCTCACTCGGCTACTTCGTCGAAGCGTTTACCCGGCCAGGCTGGCTCGGAGAGACAATCTGTGCTCCTTTCTTACACTCGGCCACTTCGTCGAATCGTTGTTACACTCGGACAATATGTTTACTCGGCTACGTCGTCGAATCGCGTTTTCTCGGAGAGACAATCTGTTCCTCCCTCTTACACGCGGCTACGTCGTGGAATCCGTGTTGCGCGCAGGCGCTTTGGTCGACTCGTCTGCTCGGAGAGACAATCTCTGCCTCCTTTCTTACACGCGGCCACTTGCTCGAATACCGCTTACGCGGCCGCGTTTGCTCGGAGAGACAAGCGCGCCTCCTTTTGTACACTCGGCTACCTCGTCGAATCGGTGTTGCACTTGGCCGCGTGTGCTCGGAGAGACAATCTCTCCTTATACTCGAATGCGTATGCGCGTCCTATATGAGTTCTGCACTATACCCTTAGAATGCACGTGCTCATCTTTTAATAATTAACTTCACATAAAGGAGAATACTACCTGTTCATATTATTCTTGTAAATCTACATTTTATATGCATGTAACCGGTACGCACCTGTTCCTATGGTCATGTTAAAAGAAGTTTTCTACATAACAAGAACAAAACAAGGCAAAAGTAAGCACAAGTAAGCACAAGTAAGCAGAAGAGAGCCGCAAAAAAAAAGGAAGGTATGGAATAGTGCAAACAAGAAATATATTATGTATATCACATAATGCAGTACAAGTGGTGTACGCTTAGCATGCGTTATGTCGCATGCATATGCGCCGTCGTACTAATGTCACAGTTGCTCCAATAGGTCATCCACATATAGCTCCTTATCCTGCATACCCCTGACTTCATCCTAATTGCAGAGCTGCTCCAATAGCTCATCCACATATAGCTCCGTCTCCTGCATACCCCTGACTTCATCCTAATGTTAACACGTTTGCAATAGGGCATCTACATATAACTCCTTCTCCTGCAAACTGCGTTCGACCTCGCACTGTTCTATGACTAATGCAAGGAGCAGTATCCATGTTTGAGCGGTTAACGGTTTTGTCATGTCCGGTTGCTTATGCAGTTGCGTGCGTGGTACATCTCGCACGTGTAGCACATCTTCTGCGGCCATGACTTTTTCCACTTCTAAGTCTTTTTCGACTACTGATACTTCGCCTTTGTGCGATGCTGTCTCGTCCTCTACATTATTCAACAAATGTTGGAACCACTCCGCCTCAGCATATATATGCATAAGCGCATGTTGCTGTGCGACCCATCCTTTCCATGCATCCAGGTTCTTCAGCGGCACGGTTGCCGCTTCACCGAGTTCACTATTGCCGGATACGTCGTCTGGCGCATGTTGTTGATAATATTGTTTCCATTCCGCTTTTAATTGCAAAAACCACGGCTGCGTCGTGCACGCACGCAATATGCGTTTGTTGCGGTCAATCCAGTTAATCCAGTGGGTGCACGCCGACGTCTCGTCACCGTGGTCGGAAGGGCGATGTTGTTCATGGTCTAACTGTATGGTTTGCATACAATTCCATCGGTCATCTTCGTTAGGGCGACAAGGGTCCGTTGCTAACGGTATGGTTGCCATACAACTGCACGGATTATGTGCGTTAGGCGGAGCACGCTCCCGTGCTAACTGTATGGTTTCCGTGCAACCCCATCGATCGGGCTTATCTTCGTTAGGTGGACACGGGTCCGTGGCTAACTGTATGTTTTCCATACAACTCCAAGGATCGGGGTCGTGTTCATTCGGTGCACAATTGTCCGTTGCTAACTGTATGGTTTCCATACCACTGCATGGATCGGGGTCGTCTGCGTTAGGTGGACAACGGTCCGTTTGTTCGGAGTCAGTGGAGGATGCATTGGTCCCTGATAAAGCCTGGTTTGTGCTAGGAGCATCCGGGAAACTACTATAGCCCTTCGCGTCCCGCATCAACTCCTGTGCAAACTCCTGCAATACAATCTGCCAATAGTCGTTTTTGACGTTTTCCCATGCGGCCGCTGCACATTCGTGGAGCACTTCTAGATGTAGCTCGATGATCGTGCGTTTATGCACGCGTGGATGACGTCGTCGTCGTTCGGCAGCAGATGCAGCCCGCGTATCCCTAATCATCGTGTACCCGTAATCAGGTGGTGGTAGTTCGCCGCGTTGTAAATGGTCCAATATATCTTCGTCGAGTGGCGGTGACGGCACGTCACGAACGGTGCGAAACGTTCGTCGTTTTTGTCCGAGGAAGGCAAAGTACTAAGCAGAAAAAGGGGGGTAAAGAGGAGGGTGAGGACGGTAGGATAAAAGGAATGAACGCGGGTGTAGGAGTACATTTGTGTTAGAACTATCATATGTGGGTGCGCGTAGGGAGTGTCTGCGGTATAAACATCCTGCACATGAGGCATGCGCGCATGGTCGTATATACTTACCTTCCAAAGGGAATAACCAAGAAGGGCCACGATGACGGCGGACAGAAAGAAGAGTACGGGAGTAGTGGCGGTAAGGACCGTGCCGGTTAGGTCGGGTCCATCTGGGCCCCCGCTGCCCGTACCTAAGTTTGTATTTGATGGGGAGGATGCTTTATGTTCTGGGTACGGGGGTGCAAATCCTCCAGATACCGTGTCCAGGTTCTTATTTGCCCAGGGAAAATCTGGTAATACGCCGACACCGAAAGCAGTTGCCGCAGCAGGCTTACCATTAGCTCCCTTGTCACCTGCTGCACCGGGTGAACCATTGGAACCAGATGCACCCATGTGCCCTAGCCCTGGGGCTGGCTGGTGTGGTGATGATCCTGGTGGTGCTGCATCCCTTGGTGGTGCCGGTGCTGCGGCTGCTGGATCCGTTGTGGCTGAGGATCCCGAGTTCGTTGCACCTCCTGTAGCATCGTTATCTATGAGTGCAAGTATGGGGGGCAGAACAAGAATGCGATAAAACGGAACTTTGAGGTGCATGGTTAGGTTGGCCATGCGCGGTTGCATGGTTGCTCATGCTAGACCACACCGGTATGACCACCGCGCGTCCGTGGATGGTTGGCCACGGTGCGAACGGTGGTTGGCATGTGCCACCCCGGGAAAAGACTCTCTCTCTCTGCCACCCACAACACACAACACACAACACACACACAGTGTGTGTGCGGTTGTCTACGTCTGTAGACGTGTACGTGGCTACCTGTCGACGTGTACATCCCGCGGCGGCTTACTCGCTCGCCTGGCTTGCCCCGGCACGCTGTGCCGGTCAGTCTCATTCGACGTGTGGTTGTTCTCGCTGCCTCTCTCCGTGTTGGCTCTCCCGCTCTCTGCGGAAGCTGTTGTTTTTCTTTTTTTTTGTCTTTTTGTTTGTTCTAATTGGACTCACTACGTGGGGTACTACTGCCTGAGCATCCAGGGTATGAGGAATCCACGGTACTGATTGTGACGCTGACTTTAGCGTGACCTACTTTCTTATCCTCAGTCTGGGTCTGCGTGCCACATGCTGACTTTGCCCTGGGTACATTTTCCTTACCGTAACGTCCGTCTGTAGTTTCCTGCGGCGTCTGTCGTCCTGGTGCCGCAAGTGGGGGTGCTGGTACGTGTCCTGTAGTCGGTTGTGACTGGACGACGTCTTCTCCTGCTGAGCCATCTGATCGTGATCTTGTCGAAGATGTTGCTTGTCCTGATGTGCCTTCTGCTGACGGTGCCGAGGGCTTCGCCCCTTTCTGGTCTCCTCCTCCCCCTGTTGCCGGTTTCGTCGTCGCTGGTTTGGTTGCCGCCGGCTTGGCGGCTTGTGGTGTGGGTGCGTCCGGCTTCGTTGCTGCAATGACAGAAGGAAGAAAAACGACAACATGGTACACAAAGGACACCAGTGGTACAGAAAGAAGGGGGCCGGGACGGTTCGATCAGGTAGCGGCAGCACACGTACGGTGAGGTGGAATGTGTGGATGCATGGTGCAGTGCACTTGTATTTGTCGCCGTCATCTCGCTGCCTCGGCATCCGGCGACCCACCGCAGCCCCACGCACGACACAGTCACACCACTTTGACGCCACGCATTCGTCCTGGCCGTCGTCCGTTGCCTCACCACCGCTGCCGCTGCCGTCGTGGCGGCCGCTTCCGTTGTAGCCGCGGCTCGCTCAGCTCAACGAAGGGACCGTGCTGTGCCGCCGTGCGTGTGCGTTGTTGTGCCGGCGTGCTTGTTGTGGCGGCATCCATATTCGGCAGTATGAGTAGTGGCCGTATGATTCGTATGCGGCCGTGTATTCGTGTACAGGCCGTATTCGTGCTGTCTCCCCATCGGTCCTTACCTATCGGTACCTGTGATGATGGTGTGGTTGCCGGCTCATTAGCTCCTGATATTGCAGGGGCGGACCCGGACGATTCCCCACTACCGTGATCTGACCTACCTGGTGGTGATGGCGACGGTGTCTGTACCCCTTGTACTCCCGGGGCCTGTTGAGTATGCAGCCCGCGTTGTATGGTCTCCTTAACTTCCTTCTTAATGTCCACCAAAATTTCCTTTATACCTTCCGTCAATGGCTTCGTTACGTTTGTGGCTATCATGTGCGTCGTATTGTCTACATGTGCCGTACCCTTTCGGCCTTTGATGTGCCCGTCCTTATCCAGTTCCCATTTACAGATATTGCTTACACCTGCTTTGCCCAATCTGTCCTTTAGTTTGTGGTCCGTACTTAACCATGTTGCAATTTTCTGTTCCATAGACCATCCTGCAGCTTGAATATTTTGATATACTTCATTTGCACAATTCACCCTTTTCATTACTCCTCCCATGGATTCGTCCATTTCCCTTTCCACTGTGTACCATGCGTACCATAAACCCCATTTTCCGTCACACGCTGACTGCTTTAAAAACTTTGCAAACATATTCAGTATGGCACATCTTACGTACTCCCTCAACGTTTCATCATTTGTGTGGTCTATTCCTTGGATTTTTGCGGTTGCGTTGCTTTGGTATAGAAAGAATAATGCCCCAGACATCAGCTTGCACATAATTCTGTCTCCCGCGCGTGTGACTAGTCTCTCCACACCATTTGGATCCTGCGGGTGCTTATAATACACATTCGCACAGTTCGAACCCAGGGCCTCCATGTCCATATCTGCCATGTATTGCACAAACTGCCCTAACTCCATTTCTATATCATCCCACAGTTTTTGCTGCAAATAATAGGACACATATACATGTATTCATAGTTTACAACGTGCGCGTCCGCCTTTACACTTAATCCACGTGTGAGTACATTCCTATGCAAACTGCACTAAGTACACCCGCACTAGCATAACAGGGGACACCGTTCATACTCATTCACATATGGCACGTATCTGCGCTCCATAAACTGCCTCCCCATTATGCATAAGCTAAGTAAGGTGCATTACGTTTAATATCCTGCCCATCACTCTAAGTTACCAGATAATCCTCGTGGCCCATGTATGCACCCCGCGCCATCACGTATTGGGCCAACACCTGGGCTAGGTGCTTTGCGGACATAATAGTATTATTCTATTAGTATTCTCTACTTTGTCCAGACCCGTTGAAATATTACTATTCTGCATATATCCAATGGTAACGCTTATAACATTCTCTCCCTCAATATGTTCATATTGTGCTAAATAATTATTCTTCCTCTACTTCTACAACAATATTTACGTGAACTGCTGGTATCATAGGTAATTGTGCTCACTAGAGTTCTACCGTACACGAGTTATAGCCTCGCTAAGGGAGAACTATATCGAGAAAAGAGAAAAAAATACAAGGATAGAATAACAAGAAGAGAAAGAAAAAAAAACGAAGAAAGAAAGCAAAAAATAAGTACTACTACACTACCGTACACACACAACGCGTCATGAATATACCCCCACACCTTTTCTACACCGGTCTCCACTAAACGCCGTCACACACTGTCTCTGCGTATACCTAAAGCCGAACAACAACATCAATTTCTTCGTCCGTCGTGGCCGCCGTCGTTGTTGCCGTCCCTCCCGCGGCTACTTGGTTGAATCGTTTACTCGAACGCCGTAATCGAACCGCTTCACTCGGCCACTTCCGCGAATACCCCTTACTCGGCCACGTTGCTCGGACACAATGTTCGTTTACCCGGGCCGCGTTTGCTCGGAGAGACAAGCCTCCGCGCTCACTCTGCTCCCTCTCTGGATCCGTACTCGGCTACTTCGTCGAATCCGTTTTACACTTGGCCACGTTGGTCGACGCGTGTTAGCGGGTACTGCGTCGAAGCCGTCGTGCACGGAGACCGATGGTGTGCGCGCCGAGGCCATATGCCGGCAGCATGCAAATACAAAACCATGAACGGATGCAATGGCGTGGACGCAAAATGTGACAAATAGTATGAGAGTTAGTTGAAAATAAAAGATGGATGCGCTCGCAGGTGCAAGATGCATGCAGCATCCCAATCCAAAAGCATGAACGTATGCAATGGCGTGGAGGCCAAAGATGACAAATAGTATAAGAGGTAGTGGAAAATAAAATATGGATGCGCGCGCAGGTGCGAGATGCAGGCAATGGAATAAGCGCATGAAACGAACAACAGCCTGGAAGTCGAGTGCAAAAGCAGCAATAAGCGAATAATAAAGAGTGCGAAGAGCGCGCAGATGAGGCGTAGAATGCCAAAAAAGCAAAAAAACAACAAACCCAAAGAGGCTTGCGATGCACGAAGTGAAATGGCGAAAAAAACGTATAATGGCATGCAAGGGTAGGGATACATGAAAAAAGTGAAAAAAGCGCCTGCGCATCAGCAGCGTGCAGGAATGCATATGAAAAAGGCGAAAGGGGCGCAAGAGCAATGCGCAAATGAAGCATGCAGGAAAAGGGAATGAAAAAGGGATGCAGTAGAAGGAGAGCAAAGAAAGGAGGAAAAGGGGGGGG